TTGGAGCCTGCAATCAATTGATCTTGCTGGGGAACTGAACTGGTCTTGGTGAGGTTCTAGCCAGGGCTGACAATTAAATGTTTCTCTTTCCTTTTGGGCTGAATGAGTGGTGCAAGGCCACTCCACGGGCTGGATCCCACGTGTGGGTTCAGTCCACAGGCTGGATCTCATGTCAGATTAGCCCTCTGGGTCAGTCTGCAGGTGTGATCTGGCATAACAAATCTGGCCACAGGGTGACCCTGCATGCCAGCCCAGATCCATGCACTGGATACAGATGCAGATCTACCCTGTGCACTGGCAATTAGTGCCTTTGCTGCTCCCCTGCCACCAAATTTCCAGAACAATGGGGTGACCCACAGGTCAGATGATATGACCCATAGGGCGGGATTTAACCTGCGGCTGGAGGCTCAATATCACTGCTCTGTCATATTAAAGCTACTTGTCTTCATTTTCAAGATCCTTTACAGACTATCATCTCATCCAATATGGAGAGGTCAGCTGCCACCTCCAATAAGTCCAAGATGCCAGTATCTCTTGCCTGCTTATTCATTTTTTAGGCAAGCTCTGTGTTTTTGTTCCATGCTTCCCTAATAGTTGGGAGGAACTACTTATAAATATCCCCAGTTGTATCTCATTGTCCTCTTTTTATACATCCTTAAAACCCTCCTGTGTGTGATAACTACAAAAGTTTCACATCAGTCAAGCTGATCATTGCCTGTCATGCTGACCAATTTTGTCTCATTTTTACATTGTACTTCCCTGTCTCGTTTCTCTATTTAGACTGCAAGGTCTTTGTATTAGATGTTTCATGAACACAGAACAGTGTGATTATAGTTAAGGACCTACTCAATTCATGATTTCACAGATTTTGCAGAAATCTTGAAATTGGGCATTGTCCACAAAATCGGGCAATGCCCATGAAATCTGCAGGAGGGAAAAAACTTACTAAAAATAAAATACTGGCTCCCCAGTGGGAGTCAACAGGCCTCATGGCTGCTGCAGCCCAGCTATGCAGCCTGCTGTGGGGGGGAGGGCAGCATGACTGGAAGCAGCCAAGATAGCAGTTGACCCTGCCCCTCACCACTGATTGGCTTGGAGGACTGCCTGATCAGCAGGGAAGGGCAGGGCCACATGACATATGACCTTCTTGGTGAATCAGCAACAAGGGGCAGGACCACATGAAAGAGCTCTTTCATTCCATCAGTGGTGAGGGGCAGGGCCACGGGGGTGGAGCCAATCGGAGGCATGCTGCAATAAGCCAATGAAAATGGCTGCCAGCCCCATGATTTGCCCTCAAAATTGGCTGCCTGACTCCTTAATTTTGGTAGGTCCTTAATTATAATATGTAATTGAGGCTTCCCATCACTACAATAATATAAACAAGAAATTACATCATCATGATTTAGGACAAGCATTATTCTGCTTATGGACTTTATCTTCCTTAAGGGCCAGGTCATGATTTTATTTACAGCAATTTAAATCCATTCAAATTCATCTAGGCTTCCACAAGTGTGTGTAAAATCAGAATCAAGCCTAAGCTATCAAATTGTATTCCTTACCTTTTGAATACTGACAAAGCTGCATCTGCAATTCAGTTTTCATAAAGGGCTTATTTGTAACTGTCTCATTTAGTTCTGTTCTGGGAGCTATGCAAAACAGTGTGCCAGAGAGGGAAACTGAGGAGATGGTCAATATTTCTTTTAATATGTGTTTTTGATTTACTCCTACCCAATATACCTACATTCTGGTACAGGTTTTTTAATTGAAACCTCTGAGGCAGCACGAGAAGGCAACAGGGTTTGCTGGTGGTTGGAAAAAGCAGCGGGGATGGTACATAGGCCACTGGAAGCCCAGGCAGACTGATAGCTGGCCAGGTGCTGCCCCAGCTTGGAGACGCCCAATCCAACACATCCCTGAGCCCACCCAGGCTTCCAGTGCCCCATGCACCATCCCCGCCACCTTCTCCACCCACCATCTAACCCAGCCGCCATCCTGCTGCCACCCTGCACTGCCCCAGGGGCAAGCTGGGTGTGCTGGCAGCAGGAGAAGGTGGCAGAGATGGGGCACGGGGTGCTGGAAGCCTGGGCAGACTTAAGGGAACATTGGATTGACTGCCTCCAAGTGGGACAGCACCCAGCCAGCTAGCAGCCCACCTGGGTTGCCAGTGCCTCATGCACCATCCATGTTGCCTTCTCCAGCCATCAGTACACCCAGCCGCTGTCCTGCCACCTTCCTGCACTGCCCCGAGGCAAGCCAGCCTATTCCCAGGCATTCTGCCAGCTACAGGAGCCTGCTAAAGGCAGAAACAATGAGGGGCTGTTTTTTCCGTGGAGATTGCCCACCTCTCCCATGGCCAGGGGGCAAGCTGACTAATGGCTGCAATGTTCCAAATTGCAACATTGCAAACTAAACTGTATTGGGATGTAATTTAGTTTACCACAATGCAAACTGTTTAAAAACCCACAAAACTGGGGTACGTGTAATGTGTGATGCCAGTCAGGCACACAAAGGGAAATTTTTGTCCTGTGTACATTGTGACATCATCATGTGTACAAGTGCCCTGAGGTTACAAACCTGTTGGTGTGGGAATTTTGTTGTTGTTTTGTTTTGCTTTTGTTTCGCAGATAATGTGGGGGGCTCCTTGTACCTGTCACCCGTACAATGATCTCATTGAAGGCCCAGCAGAATGTAGTTAATTAATTTTTGATCAGGCTGGCAATGTACTAGCACACTGTCAGATTTTTTTCAATTGACTTAGCTACAGCAAGATGTTTACTTTCATTATGAATAATTATTATACTAATCTTTCCATCTGGATTATTTGAGTTCTTTGTCTTTCTGCAATAACAGCATTTCTTATTCATCATGGAAGTTTAGATTGTCTGTTTGCTATATACCATAGCTTGATGAGCAGATGACGTCAACTAGCAAAAATCATAGATTCTGCATTGTCTATTTTTGTCACTTGACATAATTTCCTGGTATACAGTCTGTGCTAAAATACTCACAATTTACCAGTCAAGCTAATAATCAAGTCTATAACATTTCCATATATTTTTAAGTAATGGCAGGCTGCCCAAAGCTTTTAGATGGATGCCTTTTGTATTTTACAGATCTAAATCAACATGCTCTGGAGTGAGTGAGAAGGTAAGGCTTGAAAGCAATACAGAGAGGCTCCAAATGCTAATATTGCAGAATATTATTGTAGCAAAGCTTACAGCAGAATATTATTGTAGCAAAGCTTACAGCAGTCACTTATCATTTTCCTTGTGATCCATCCTTTCTGTACTAACATCCACTGAATCTTGAGCCTCCTTTGGATTAGGGTTTTCCTGAATAGGGTGGGGGAATGGCCAACCCTTACTGGAGAATCAATATTCTATGCCAAATGCCAAACATTTGTCACATTCTTTTGGATGGCAACAGTCATGTGTTATTGATTTCTATAGTGTCATTGGGCCCAGAATGTGTTTTGGCCTTTTAGGCATTACAATAATTTAAACTAAGGCAGGGAAGAGTGACATCATACAGACTCTCTAATTTAGAGAGGGATAAGCCTTTGAAAGCAACAGCTCCCTTCATCATGCAAACATGGCTAACTACTCTGTTCATAATATAACGATGTTAGGAATAATGTATTATAAGATCTCAAATTACAAGCATTTCTGTGCATATGTTGGCAAACATCACATTTAGGAAGAAAATGTATATACTCTTCTAGAAAAATCCAGCAAGCAAGCATTGTAACAGTAATAGATCAGATCAGATCAAATATCTTTTTCTTAAAGATTACACCTGAAGCATGTGTTAATATAAGCTACCAGAAGATGAAGCTGTAGACTGAACTGTATGACATGGAGAAAAACAAAACCCTTTGGGGAAAAAAAAAAGTATTTAGACTGAAAAATTATGGCACTCTAATTGAGTTCTCTATCCAAAAATATCTAATATCAGAAAGGGAGTGAGAGGATGGGTCTGTCTTGGTTGGGAAAACAATAGAAGGAAAAGTGAAATTTTGTTATCTACTAAGTAACAAAATAAAGCCTGGGAATGAATTACAATTTGTCAGTGAATGGGCATGAGCTTTTGCTTGTAGTATATCTTTGTTTGCTAGGATGTAGATCCCTGGCAAACATTACACTTAAGATGCAATTAACCTATTAATCATGCCACAAATAGTAATTCTGCTACACGTTTAAGGAAGTAATGGCATGGCAAAAAAGGTAACCAGCCACAAAAATATTCTACAATATGTGCAACACTTGTGACTGGTTCCATTGTAACTTCATTTGAACATGCGGCAGGGCAGACCTGGCAGCCAGCCAGCCAGTTTCCCCCTTGTCGCTAAGATGCCAGCCATGTGGTACAGCCCTACATGAGGCTGTACCCCACTGTTTTCAGGGTACTGAGTAGAAGGGAGCTCATCAGCTGTGCTGAGGTGCCAGGTTGAAGGGAGGCTTGGGGTTCACTGCAACCCAGCAGCAGAATGTGCCCTGCTCCAAGTTTTTGGACATCCTGGAGCACAGGCTGTAGAACAGGCTCCCTTGCAGCCCTGGGACTGGGACCCATGACCAGCTGACTCAGTCCCAACCCTGGGAAGGCAAAGGGTCTCAAAAGAGCTTTAGCATCACAAGGCTGGGACTAATGACACCAGATCACACTAGTTCACACCCAGCTTTCAACTTGTTGGTGCAGAGGAAGCCTGCAATTCTGATCCCAGGCTCTCCCTGCACTGGCAAGTAGTAATGGTATGATTGGGATCTGATCCCTGATTTTGGAAATCGGTTATCCTTCTGTGCACATGAGACATAGCAGGAGGAGCAACTGTTGGGATCAGGTGTAATGTGAATGTAGTGTGTAACAGCAGGAGGACCTAGGGGGCTGTCTGCAGAACTGTACTGACAGTTAATTTGGACTGCAACTCCCAGAAACCCCCAGGGGCTGGGGAATAAGAGAAACAAGAAAGAGGAAGCTTGAGGCTGGAGTAAAGGGAACAGAGAGCAGGGTGTACATGGAGCTAGTCCACCCTACACAGAGGAGTGTACAGTGGAGCTGGAGATCTCACTAGGTCGATCAACTAGGACTGTGGACTAAAGGACCTGGACTCAGATTTGGGGGTAGGTGCAGGGTGCTGTGCAAGGGCTGTTGGGACTTAAGGCTTGTTTGGGGACACCTCTGGAGGTTTTGGGGGGAAATTAAGGTGCTGAATGTTACTGCAGTATTGATGTTTCTTTACCTTTTACCTTTTCTGTCCCTTTGGCCCACTGGCTTGTGACCCTAACCCCTATGATTTTGTGTATAAAAGTGGGAACTCCCCCTTGCTTCTTGCACTAGTTCCTGAAGCTGCCGGGTTGGGACCCAAGGAATGGATCCTATCATGCCATTAAATGAATGTGTGCTCAGGGCCTTAGCCATTTTATCTGTGAGAAACCAGCTAGAAATCTCTCTTAACCAACAAAGAAAGCCACATTCAAATTTATGCCCTCTAATGATCTCTGCCTAGACCCCTCCTTAGGAATTCAAACACTAAGAAACTCAGGCACCTGTACACAGAGGGTACAGCCGGTACCTATGCTAGGTGGTGCTGGAGTAGTTTGTATAGTGCTTGTACCATACCTCTAACAAATGTTAAATTCATTGCTATGTAACCAATCTCATAACCCATTTCATAAAGCCTGGGTTAACACCTGGAAACCAAAAGCTATGAGTTTGGGTTTTTTAATGTGATCAGCAAGAAGAGCTCCAGCAGGGCAGGCTCTTCAGGGATATCTTCTCTGATAACTTGTTCAGTGAGTAAACTCATGTTTCAAAGAGTAAATTCACAATTTCCCCACCATCTCCTGTAGTATAGTATATTATATCTCTAGTCTAGTATAGATGAACTAAATTGGATTTTTAGATTAAAAAAATATTTGACTCCTTTCCACCACACACACTATTTATCCAGCTGTGACCTGGTACCCAGAGGTACCTATACATGTGCTGCAAAGCTGCTCCGACCACTGTAATTACAAATGCATGGGAACAGACTCAACTAATTGAATCTGCTAGAGCATGGTAATTACCACATTCCAGCAAACTTCAGTGTCATGTGTATTAGCATCCCCATGCTGAAAAATGGTGGTGGGGATGCTTTAACTAAAAGATCATTTGACAAGATTCAGTTAAGGCACTCCCACTGCCATTTTTCAGTGTGGGGATGCTGATACACATGATACTCTAGGCACTTTAATTAGAGCGGCTCTCAGAAGCCCCACCCTCCACCCCCTCCACCATCACCTCCTGGAGCATGTGTATAAATGACCTAGATACAATTTTCAGCTAAAAGAATGCACCATAGTGGAAAGGTGGGAGAAGAAGGTGTTTTGAGGGCAGAGGTGACAGCAGATGATATGGGCCACCTGCTACTTATTTTTCTGCATCATGTTGGATTCAGAAAACAAGTTGTCTAGATGCAACAATTAGGGAAGGGAACTAAAAAAGGAGAGGGGGGGGAAAGGTTAACATAGCCCCGCATCTTTTATTCTTTAAAACAGCCTCAGCTTGATTTGGGAATAGGACTACTGCTTAAGCCTGTTACTATTTTTCTCCTACTAGTTTATCCAAATCCCTGTATGCTTCTCCCAAGGGTCAAATAAAGTTCAGAGCTACATGCATGAAAACCCTGTTCTTTAGTTCATCCTGACCATTATTAGGTTTAGCATTGAAGGCCCTTTAAACAATGAGCTTTTGAGAAAAGATCTGAAAGAAGACTGAGGCATTCTCACACCATCAACAGATGAGGCATTCGCGTCTTCCGCACTGAGGACAAGATGGGAACAGCCATCACCACCAAAGATGCAATGAAGGGTGACTGTTGTGGGAGACTCCCTGCTGTGAGGGACAGAAGGTGTCATCTGACATCAAGGCCCCATTGCTCAAGAGGTCTGCTGCTTTCCAGGAGCCAGGATCCAAAATGTGACGGCAAGAATACCAAAACTGGTCCACCCTATAGAACACTACCCCATGCTTCTAGTCCAGGGGTGCGCAAAATACGGCCAGCAGGCCAGATCCAGCCTGCAAGGCCATTCTATCTGGCCCGTGGGGCCCCTAAAAATTTAGAAAATATTTATCTGTCTTTGGTTCCTGTCAAAAATGACAGGACCCCCCCCTCACCCCGCCCCCCAAGCTGGAAGCCCCAGTAGGGGCTTCTGGCCTGGGACCATGTGGCTGCACTGCACCAGAACCTCAGGTAAAGGGTGGGGGGGAGGGCAGGGAAGGAGCCCAGGGGAGAGGCTGGTTTTCTCCATGCTCAGCACCAGCTTATAACCCACCCCTGCTGCCAGCCTGGACCCTGCACCGGCTCTGGGCTCACCTGTCGGGGCTGCACACAGTGGCAACAGCTGCAGCCCCCCACTTGCTGCGCCAGGCAGTGTTTGCTGCTGCTGCCCTCCCAGAGCTCATGAGCAGTGCAACCCAGAGGCAGCAGTGGCAAACACTGCCCAGCACGGCAAGGGGGGGGGGGTGCCAAGCTGCAGCCACCACCCTGCAGCCCCAACAGGCAAGCCTGGATCTGGCGTGGGGCCCAAGCTGGCAGTAGAGGCAGGTTACAAGCTGGTGCTAAGCACAGGAAAAGCGGCCCCTGACCCACTTGCAGAGGGACAGAAAACCTGAGATGATTAGGGGTGAGCTCAGCTGTCTTATGGGAATGCCAGGAACATGGGCAGCAAACAGGATGAACTGGCACTCCCCTGGCAGATGAAGAATTTGACTTCATTGTATTGACGGAGACTTGGTGGGACAATACATATGACTGGGCAGTGGATATTGAGAGCTACAGGCTCTATAGAAAGGATTGTGTTGGGAAGAAGGGTGGAGGGGTAGCCCTGTATGTGAAAGAGCAGTACCCCTCCCTGCACGTTACATTTGATTGCAGGGGAAAGTCCCTTGAGATCCTCTGGGTCAAGATACAAGGGGGGGTTGGGAGAAGAAGACCTGATGATGGGACTCTACTATAGGCCTCCCTACCAAGAAGAGGAGAATGACCAGGCATTTTACAGGCATTCTACATTCCATCCCCATGTGGTCAAAAAGGGCCAAGAGACCTGCCTGGTTCAACAGGGACATTAGGGAGCTTCTTAAAAAGAAAAAAAGAATCATACATGCAATGGAAAAACAGTTTTGCATCCAGAGAAGAATACACCCATCCGGCCAGGGTCTGCAGATATGAGACAAGGAAAGTCAGGTCATGCATAGAAATCAAACTGGCAACTGAAATTGGAGATAACAACAAGTCCTTGTATAGGTAGGAGCAAGAAAAATTCATACTCCACTGTGGCTCCCTTACTGAGTATGAAGGGGAAGCCCACAGCTGATCCCTGTGAAAAGGCAGAGCTCCTTAATATTTTGCATCAGTATTCCTGAAACCAGGTGAGAACTGGTCACCTGTCCAGAGTTCCACAGAATACAGCAATGACAGCAGTCCCCATAAAATCAGCCCTGAACAGGTGAAAGTGCTCCTTGAACATTTAGACAATTTCAAGTCAGCTGACCCAGATGACCTGCATCCAAGAGCACTGAAAGAACTGAATGAACTCATAACAGTGCCTCTGGGAAGTCTGTTTGGAGAGTCATGGTCCCTAATGACTGGAAGAAGGCTAACATCTTCCCATCTTTAAGAAAGTGAAGATGTTATAGGCCAGTCAGTCTGACTTCATTCCTGGGAAAAAATCTTTGTGAAAGGGGCCATCAACCAGAAGTTCACAACTGGTGGGTACTGACAAACAATGAGCATGGCTTTGTCAAGGGGAGGTCATGCCTAACAAACATGGTGTCCTTTTATGACCAAGTAACTAGCCAGCTGGACATGGGACAGGAGGTGGATATCATCTACCTAGACTTCAGCAAGGCCTTTGATAGTGTTTCCCATTAAATTCTCTCAACCAAGTAAGAGGGTACTGGGCTAGACCAGGGTACAGTGAGGTGGGTTGGCAACTGGCTCAGTGGCCGATCCCAGTGAGTTGTAGTTGATGGGGTGGCCTCATCCTGGAGGGCTGTCTCCAGTGGTGCCCCTAGGGATCAGTACTTGGGCCCATGCCCTTCAACATCTTTATCAATGACCTGAATGAGGGAGTAGAAAGCACAATGAATAAGCTTGAGGAGGACACCAAGCTATGGGGACATGCAGGCGCATTTGAAGACAGAGTGTGAGTGCAGCTATATGGTGGGGTATGCGTGTGGGACTCACCCTATGAATTCACACACACACACTCTGTCCCTCCTTCCCTCATTGCATGGATGCATGTATGTGCACACACATACCCTCCTGCTCTTGGCCCTGGGGTACTGGCGTGGGTCCCATGCTCCTGCGGTTTGACCATGCAGCCAGGAGCCACACGGTACAGGAGTGGCTGGGGGGGGGGGGGGGGGGGGGGGGGAAAAAGAGCCGG